ATCAATTTTAGACTCTTGTTGTGGCTGAGATTCCTCCTCCGTCACTGTGGCCTGGGTTCCATCTCCGCGTATTTATGGAGGGGTGGGGGGGCATGTTGTTCAAAATGTTTAATCATCTCAGTGTCTCCTTCTTCACAGTGACGTACCTATTTTTGTGTTGATTTAACAGTTTGAAGATGTATCTCACTGGCCTGTCTAAACCTAACTTGTCCCCTTGGGGACAGGGCAGCACCTATACCCCAGACTGACAGTATCAATAGTTACCACCATCGGAAGGGCATATCTCAATTCAGGGCATGTGGAGTTAGAAGCTTCCAATCTCTTAAAAAAGTGCTGGCCATCGCCTGAGCACTTTGTCTTGTTGTTTTTCTCTCACACAAGTCCATCAGTGGAGTAGTTACCAAGCTAACATTCAGCACCCACTTATCAAACTCTGCGAAAACATCATCATTGCCCCATTTAGTGCTGATCCAGCAACACCCCTCCCTGACCCTCTGTTTGCCTCTCAGCTTTTGCCACTCATTTTCAGCATGGTTTATTGCTGAACCAGTAGCCTGTAATCTTTCAGGAAGGGCTTCCAGATAGAGTACACAGGAACACTAGCTACTACTTGCTTCATTAGAGTCTGGGAAGTTGTTCGACGATGTCTCAGTCGGCAAAGCATAACGTGGCTTTGGAAAAGGATGCCTGGGGAGACCAAGGCTGATAACTCTTTAACTTGGAGTGTTAAGGGAACCTGTCTGTATCGCTTGAGAAAATCTGTTTTAGTAATAAATGCGGCACTTCCTACCCCTTCAATATACTCTTCCAGATGACGAATTGGGTTGGAGTCTACTCAGGTTATTAATGCGGCCTCTCTGGCAGAAGATGAAGAGCCATCAGCATTATGTCCGAGCACTCTAGAGTGTTTAGACTGCGTTCCATTGTGTTGTTTTCCAGTATGTCTAGGAATATCTGCACTTTTCCCGGAGCTAAATGAGAAGGAGACTGTTTTGTGAGTGGACTGTCCGACATCTGCATAATGTATGACTAAAGTTGTACATCCTGGTCTGTCCTCGCTGATCCCTTTCAATGAAACCCGCAGCTCTGTCGGGTTAGCTCTCTGCTCTGCAGTTCCGACGTTCCTGGATCATGGAGCAGGTCGTTGTGAGCCGTTCCCGGAACACAGCGATGTCATCTAACACAGGAGGATTCTGGCTTCGCTATGGCAACCTTCCCTTAATCAGTTTCAGAGGACAACCCCCACAGAATCTAACTCAAATGGACTGAACTGGGGCACCCTCATTGCGTGATTCCTGGGTGGTAAAGCAGAGAAATACCAGCCCTTTATCCCAGTCACAGGAATACTCAGCATGCCTCATACACCACGAGGACTGGTAGTAACACTTTAAAATCCCTTGTGACTGTGGGTGGTAAAACATCAAAACTGGGAACAGGACCAGACCATTCAGCCCTTCTCTGCCTGCTCTGCCTTTCAATATGGCCATGGCTGTTCCTCCATCTCAACGCCATATTCCTGCTTTCATCCCATGCCCCTTGAAGCCTTTAAAATCTAGAATCGCTATCCATCTCTTTCTTGAATATACTCAGTGACTTGGCCTCCATTATCTTCTGTGGTAGAGAATTCCACAGTTCACTACTCTCTGAGTGAAGGTATTTTTCCTCATCTCAATCCAAAATATTCTACCCCATATCCTGAGACTGTATCCCCTGGTTCTAGACTCCCAAACCAGGGAAAACATCTCCCTGTATCTAGTCTATTCGTCCCTGTTTCTCTATGTTTCAATTAGATCCCTCTCATTCTTCTAAACTCTAGTGAACACAGGCCCAATTGGACCAATCACCCCTCAGAGGATAGTTAGCAGGGAGAGGGCAGCACAGTGGCTCAGTGGTTAGCACTGCTGCCTCACAGGGACCCAGGTTTGATTCCAACCTCGGACAACTGTCTGTATAGAATTTGCACATTCTCCCCGTGTCTGCGTGGGTTTCTTCTCACAGTCCAAAGGTGTGCAGGTTAGGGTGGATTGGCCATGCTAAATTGCCCTGTAGGGTCCAGAGATGTGCAGGTTAGGTGGGTAAGCCATGGGAAATTTAGGGTTACAGGGGTGGGTGTGGGTGGAATGCTCTTCGGATGGTCGGTGTAGACTCAATGGGCTGAATGTCCTGCTTCCACGCTGTAAGGATTCCACAATCCCTGGTATCAGCCAAGTGAACCTCCACACCACTCCTTCTATGGTAAGTATATCTTTCCTTAGTGTATCATGTGCAGCTTTAGTCTCCCTACCTAAGTGCGGTGTTACCAAGGCCCTGTATAACTGCAATAAGTCTTCTTTACTTAGTAACTCAAATCCTCTTACACCTTCCTAATTGCTTGCCAGTAGGATTTGATTGGGTGTTATCCAGATTACACATAACTTTCTGGAAAATAACTATAGACATAAAACAGGCACCGAAATCTGACTGGTTCTCAGCTGGTAGACCACATCAGTGTAGTGCTGGGTTAACTTCACCACTGCCTTGGTAGTAATGATTCCCATCCCAGAAAGTGGCATCTCCATCCAGGGCCGCATGCACTGCCCCAATTCATTACTAAGTGGTTTCTCAAAAGCTGGTATTGGAATCGGAGCTGCAGGTTTTACTGCAGTCCAGGACTTCCCCACAATCTGGCAATGTGCTTATAGAACTACCTATATTCTTGCAGAGACATAGCCCACTCCGCCAGGGGCCATAACAAAGTTTGATTTTAAAATGGTCAGTGATGCCACCAATTGTCAACAGTTTTGTGTCGATACCTATGACTGTGCAAAGCTCAGTGTCAGAATCAAAACAGCCAGATTCCTGAAATAACAAATAATGAATTAGCTTACTAAAGACAAAAAATTTATTCAAACCAAGATACAAAGATCATTACCAAAAAGATTTAAACTGTGCAAATTTCCTTGAACAATAACATTCACACAATTTCCAAACCTGAAGCAAAACTCTACAGAGTGTTGACTTATAAGTACTTTGGACAAGTAACAGTTAAATTTGTGGCGGGGTGGGGGGAAACTACTACATTGTCCAAACACTGGCTTGGAGCCAAAGTCACTTTGCATGCAAGCTGTTGGCAGTGAGGTGTGTTCCTGGATCAGTTACAGCTGGCTGCAAAAGCTTTTCTGGAGACAGTGGTAGTGGATTCTGAATTCTCACTCAGGAACGTTCCATTTTTGGTGATAAGATTTTTCCATTTAGTTTACAACTCATAACATTTGATAAAAGCGATTTCAGCGAAAAGAGATGCAGGGGGAGGGAGAAAAAGACTATTGCTCCAGCTGACTTTACATTCAAATCCAACATCTTTTCCAATAACAAACTGGGTCATGTAATCTTGCCCCAAAAATGATGTCTTCATCCAAGCAGAGATAGTAGGAACTGCAGATGCTGGAGAATCTGAGATAACAAGGTGTAGATCTGGATGAACACAGCAGGCTTAGCAGCATCAGAGGAGCAAGAAGGCTGACATTTCAGGCCTAGACCCTTCTTCAGAAACCGAAACGTCAGCCTTCCTGCTCTTATGATACTGCGAGGCCTGCTGTGTTCATCCAGCTCTACACCTTGTTATCTCTTCATCCAAGCAATTTGTTTCTTGTAAATATCACATGAATCCTGCTGTAGTCAGTGTGTTTTGCTTTGCAAAATTTTCTTTATGGAAGTCTAAAGATATTTATATGTCCAGTCAATTATATTATAAATTAATATTTCACATAACTGCATCTTCAGAACTGAGTTGAAAGTAAAATTAAACAAAGAAAGAACAATTAAATCTCAAACCAAAGCAACATACTGTGGACACTGGAGATCTGAAATAAAAACAGAAAGTGCTGGACAAACTCAGTTAACAGTTTGGGTTGGATATGGCTCTTCTTCCCAACAAATAAATCTTTGTCTTATCTGGGATGAGTATTGGGGGTGGGGAGGGATACAGTGAAATGTTGTGCCTCTTCAATTCTGACATAGAAAGATCTCAGAGGTAGGGGACTGGTATTTGAAGGTGACTGGACGGTGGATCAAGGTGTGCAGAGTCCCTTTGGAATATGGAAAGGGGAGGGAAATGTCTTTGGCAGTACCATCATGTTGGAGGTGACGACAATGGTGGAGGATGATCCGTTGAGTATGAAGGCTGCTGGGTTGGATCAAAGGGGAGCCATTACGATGATTCTGGAAGGAAGGGGAAGGGGTGACAGCAGAGCTGGGTGAAGTAGGACGGGCTCAATCGAGACTCTGTTTACCATTAGTGGGGAGGAAATCCTCGGTTGAGGAAAAAGAAGGGAGATGTACCTGAAGCACTAGTACAGGAAATTACGGAGCTTGAAACTGGGAAATTGGGATTGGCTCCTCACAGGAAATGCAATCAAACCAGAAATGTGGAGTGGATGATCGAACTTGGCTTTGTCCTGGGACCCAGCATCACCTACGCCAGTCTTCTGCCCAATTCACTCCGGGTGATATCGAGTAACTGGCGAGCACGTTGGATCAAGCAAAGGCAATGGACACTTTTCGTTTTCATAGATGTGAGCTCCACTGGTAAATGTTGCCCTTCCCTAATTGCCCTGGACCGGTAACTATTATCGCTATGGGTCAGGAGTGACAATATAAGCCAGACTTGATAAGAACTGCAGTATCCTCCCTCTAGGGCAGTTGTGAGCCAGATAGATTTTTACAGTGATTGGATAGTTTAAAATGATCACTATTAATAAAACTGTGGAATCCCCACAGTGCGGAGGCAGGCCATTTGGCCCATTGAGTCAACACTGGCCCTCCAAAGAGCATCCCACCCAATTCCTGTATTTCCCTTGGCTAACCTACAGATCCCTGGACACTACGGGACAATTTAGCATGGCCAATCCACCTACACTGCACATCTTTGGACTGTGGGAGGAAATCAGAGGAAACCCACACAGACAGGGGGAGAAAGTGCAATCTCCACACAGTCGCCCGAGGGTGGAATCAAACCCGGGTCCCTGGCGCTGTGAGGCACCAGCGCTAACCACTGAGCCACTGTGCTACCTATTATTAAATGATAAAAATATTTTATTCCATGTTTAATTTTACAAATTGCAGTAAAATACCACCCACACCCCTGATATGCCATGGTGGGATTTGAATGCACAATATCCACTCCAGAGCATGAGTCCCAGCCTCTGGATTGTACCCCAGCACAGATACTGCAATGCCATCAATCCTCCTGACAACATTCCAGCAAAAGCACTGAAGGTTTGTGCTCCAGAATTTGCTGCTCCCCTAACCAAAGCTGGTCAAGTATAATTACAACACTGGCATCTACTCGACAACGTGGAAAATTGCCCAAGTATGTCCTGTACACAAAGGAAAAATCCAATGTGGCCAATTACTGACCCATCAGTGTACTTTTGATCACCAGTAAAGTGATGGAAGGTGTTATCAACAGTGCTATCAAATGAGGAGATCTTAGCCCCTTTGCAAAAGGTTCGGTTTTAGAGAAAACATCCCTGGTTTTCACAGTCTGGGTTTTTGGTCAGGGAAAGTCAGATTCATGTGTTATATGGTATTACAGTGTTATGCAGTGTTACAGTGCAATATGGTGTCACAATATTATATGGTGTTACAGAGCTACATGTCACACTGTTACCTGGTTTTGCAGTGTTAACTGGCATACAGTGCTATCCATGTTGCAGTGTTATAGCATTATCTGGTGTTACAGTATAATCTGGTGTTACAGTATTATCCAGTGTTAGTGTGAAATGGTGTTACAGTATTATCTGGCATTGCAGTATTATCTGACGTTACAGTGTTACAGCACTGCTGTGAGTAGAGATGTCACACTTGACCCCACTACTTAACAAGCCGCCAGATTTTCCAAAATCATTCAAAACATTACAGAGCTCTCATTTCAACCTCTTCGTTCTCCAAATCAGGTCCAACAATGAGTTTGTCATTTCGTTTCTATCACATCACGGCCTGTGAAGGTTTCCCGATGCTGTGCAATCTAAACATAGATTTTTTTTAAAAATCCGTCTATGGAATACCGTGCAATGCTGGTGTAAACAACGCAGCTTTACAAAGTCCGCAGTCCAGCCAACCGGAAAATACAAAATAGTCACACAAAATACCCAGAGATCACTTTTCCAGATTGGACGTCATATAATGCTACCAGCTCTTTAAATATTTAAATAAGATGATTCATTTTTGGTGAGAAATGAAATTTGAAGTTAGGTTGGTGAACAGTCTTCTGCGATGACCACTGTGGAAGTTGGGTGTATAAGCCTCTGGGTGAGACTGGGACTGGCGTGGATACTCTGGACAGCAATGTTCTTAAACAGAAACACAATTCCGAGACTGGCTTGTATCAGAAAAGCAGGGGACGTACACATTCAGTATTTGCACCAGTAGCCCCTGAGTGTAGACCCTCCTATTGATTTCGAGACCACATGTCAGAATGAGACTCTGGGAGGCATGTAGAGAATGGGAATAAAGGGTGTCCGTATCACAAAGCAGTTCTTGCAGAAGGCAAGGAGCATGTAACACATGTCACTGCATTATATATGGGACCTTCTCATACAGTCATGTCCCTCATCGGATTACTTAGGAACTTCCAGTATTGAAGGTCCTTGTAACAATTGATTCAGGTCAAGAAGAGGAGATATAAGCTGAGAGGTGGTGTGGGAATCTAGCTATACACTGCCACCTATTGGAAAACTCAATAACACACAGAGGTACCAAAGAGAACAGACATTGACAATGGCAGCACACTGTTTGCAAGCAGGACCCTTGTGACAAAAAGTGTGTATGTGAGCTGTACCACAGTGAGAGTCTCTGTGCGTGTGTGTGCGCGTGTGCCATATCCCAACAAGAGTCAGTGTGTGTGGGGGACTGTACCCCAGTGAGAGTCAGCGTCTGTGTGGATCCAGTCTCCATCTCTTCTTTCGGTACAAACCTTGCGCCCAGAGCACTGACCCTCTTAGGTGGGAGTGAGACGTGTTCCTGTGGAACCGTGAACCCTTCCAGCACCTTCACCGCAGGCTGCAGCCCTGGATCATGGAGATGAGGCAATCCGGAGAGCCAGCCTGGAGCAGAAACGGGTGTTCGAGCAACCCAATGGACGTGGCTCTCTCCGTCACATCGTGGATAAGCATCCGGTCGATGAAGTCCCTGAGAATCGGGGAGACCTGCAGGAGGAGAAACATTACCGCGCACATCAGAGCTGAGGAGATCAGCAGCCCAGTCGGAATTCCCTACTATCCTTACTGACCTCACAGGGACATTGCCCACACAGACAGCTTGTGTTTGAGGAGACGGAAGGAAATTCCCATGGCCAACCTAAGACTCAGGAGGGAATACTGGGTGGCCGGGGTTTTGGTGACTATCACTTGAGGGGTGACCTATGGTCACTGGGAGTAGGGGGTGGACAGGAAGAATGCACAAAGAGCTGGGCAAGGAGAAAAGGAGCAGCAAATGGTCTCTCAGTCTTAGAATAGAGGAGAAGGCCATTCAGCTTGTTGACACCATTCAACAAGATCGAGGATAATCTTCTACACCGTTTCCCTCACTATCCCTAGATTCTTTGATGTTTTTAATATGTTAAAAAGTCTATCAATCTCAGTCTCGAACATATTCATTGACTGAGCTTCCAAGGTCTGTGGTGTGGAGAATCCCAAAGTGTCAGCTCCACTGACTGAAGAAATTCCTCCTTGTCTCTGTCCCAAATGCCCCTTACTCTGATAGCTCCCTGATCCCAGATCCTAGACAGGGGAAACATCCTTCATGGATCAACAAGGATCCCTGTATTTTGTACATTTGAATGACATCCCTTCTGATTCTTCTAAACGCCGGAGAAAGTAGGCCCAGTCTATTTAAGATAACAAGGTGTAGAGCTGGATGAACACAGCAGGGCAGGCAGCATCAGAGGAGCAAGCTCTCCTGCTCCTCTGATGCTGCTTGGCCTGCTGTGTTCATCCAGCTCTACACCTTGTTATCACAGATTCTCCAGCATCGGCAGTTCCTACTATCTCCCAGTCTATTTAACCTTGCTTCACAGGACTATCGCTCCATCCAAGGAATTACTTCAGTGAACCATTGCAGCACTCTTCCCTTTGGTAAGGTGACATGTGAGTAGTATCTCAGTGGTTAGCACTGCTGCCTCACAGCGCCAGGGACCCAGGTTCGATTCTGGCCTTGGGCGACTGTCTGCGTGGAGTTTGCACATTCTCTCTGCGTCTGCGTGGGTTTCCTCCCACAGTCCAAAATGTGCAGTGTAGGCGGATTGGCCATGGGAAATGCAGGGTTACAGGGATGGGGTGGGTCTGAGTAAGATGCTCTTTGGTGGGTTGCTGATGGGCCAAACGGCCTGCTTCCACACTGTGACGTTTCTATCAAAAACTGCACACAATACTCCAAGCGCAGTTTCATCAATACGCTACCTAATTGCAGTAAGATGTCTTTGTTCCCACACTTACATCCTCTAAAATAAAGACCAATATACCATGTCCCATCTTAGTGACAAGGTCCCTGAGCTTTTCCCACTTGTTTGGGGTGGGGGGGATAGAGAGTGGAAGGAGTCAGGGCGGCTTTGGAACGGCATACGGGAAATGTTTTATTGGGACAAAGGCACCAAAGGCGAAGGATGACTGAATAGATTGGCAATCTCACAGCAAATGGAGGTTAGGATGTTGGCTAGGGATATGCAGAGAGAGAGACCACAATGTGATTTGATAGGGACTGGTACATAGCTGTATGCACACGAATGCTGCAGTACATGGCAGGGGTAGTGGGACTCCTTACATTCTATAATGAAGGGAACGTAATGTCCAATCCGAGCTGCAATGTAATGTGTACCCATCACCCAGGCCAGCACACTCTGAGCATCCTGTAAAATACCGTGTATACACAGCCTGGGCACATCAGAACAGCCAGTTAAACCCCAGCAGCAAACTCAGCACTGACCGCCCCAAAACTGTACCTTGTTCCACAGGGAGTGACTCTGTGAGAAGTTCCTCCCGATACCTGAGCTCTATGTTTATGTCAGTGTCTGTGGAACTTGTGTCCCAGAGTCAGTGTGTGTGGCACTGCACAGCACTCAATACAAATGCCCCTGGTCTATCCCAGTCTGGGATAGTGACAGGGGCACCGTCTGGGACAGTGACTGCGGTAGCACAGTGGATCCCAAGCTTCTTTGTTTGAAGCACTGCCCACTGTTTTTCCCTCCAACCCCTACCTATATAATAATACTAACTATTTAAATCTGCTGCTATCAAATTTCAGAATTGTGTGGTAGAAGAAATATTTAAAATCTTATCAATTTTCTACATATTAGGAAACTGGGTCCCTTGTACATGGAGCTGAACATAGCAAGTCAAGAGATGAAAGTAATGATTGAGGCAGACTGAGACACATATTCCCCCGTTGTGTGACCCACAGCTTGGGTATGACAGGAGGGTCTAGTTGTGTAGGGTGAGGCTAAAACACTTCACCCAATAGACGTTTCAAGGGCAGCATTTGGAAACATAGCTGAGATGTTGTGAAGCAGTGGTACATCCTTCCTCATGTAGGAATAGACAGCAACTCTAAGGAGAGTGGGAGGGGGAATTGTTCACGGGTCTGGTTTTTCTTTAGTTATTTTGATGCAAATTAGAGGTGCAGGGACAGTGCCAGAACTTTCCTCCTGATTAGGAACAGGCCCCTCAAGCCTGCCCCACCATTTAAATAAGATAATGGTTCATCTATGGGCCCAGGCCCATTTTTATTTTTACTCAATCCGTGGAATGGCTGTGTCAGCATTTATTTCCCATTCCTAGCTGCCCTTGAGAAGGTGGTGCTAAGCTGCCTTCATGAGCCACTGCGGTCCATGTGCTGTAGTTTGACCACCAATGCCGTTAGAGATGGAAATCCAGGATTTTGACCCAGTGACGCTGAAGGAGCGGCGATATACTTTCAAGTCAGGACAGTGAGTGACTTGGAGGGAAACTTGTAGGCAATGGAGTTCCCACATATCTGCTGCCCTTGTCCTTCTAGATGGAAGTGGTCATGGGTTTGGAAGGTGCTGTCTGAGGAGCTTTGGTGAATTTCTGCAGTGCATCTTGTAGATGGTACACACTGCTGCTACTGATCATCAGTGGTGGAGAGAGTAGATGTTTGTGGATGTAGTGCCAATCAATCAAGCTGTTTTGTCCTGGATGGCGTCAAACTTTTGATACTCCTGACTTGTGCCTTGTAGGTAGTGGATAGGTTTTAGGGAGACGGAGGTGAGTTACTACCACAGTATTCCTAGCCTCTGACCTGCTGTTGTTACCATTGTGTTAATGTGGTGAGTCCAGTTGAGTTTCTGGTCTACGATAACCCCCAGGATGTTGACAGTGGGGGATTCAGTGATGGTAATACTTGAATGTCAAGGGGCAGTGGTTAGATTGTCTCTTATTGGATCATAACCTGGAATTTGTGTGGCATGAATGTTATTGCATTTGGTCCTTAATACTTTTACGGAACAAAAATGCATTTATCTCAGATTCAAAATTGACTAATCCTGTATCCACCGGTGTTTGTGGAAGAGAGACCCACTCCACTAATGCGGGCTCAGTCTACAGTGTGTCGCAGGGTCATCTGAACACATTCTGACCCAGGCACCACTCCCTACTCCAGTTACACATTTCTAACTTGACTGACAAAATCACTTCCAAGATTCTAAAGTTCTGGCTCAAGATCGTGAGAGAGCTCAGCTCGATGGCTGTACCTCCCTGGTGATATATTTACAAGAGTTGACTTGTCTGTTTACCAGGCAGAAGTCCTTCATAGTTCTAACTCTCTCATTGAAACCCATCCCTCTCTGTCTGACTCCCTCCCCCCTCACACTGGGGGCTTCTGCACACTCAGCATTAATTCTCACCCTCCCCAATCTCTCTCTCTGGCTGAACTATATTGACAAAACCCATATCATGACTCTAATTCACAATTCTCATCTCCGCACCACTCAGAGTGTGTTCTCCACCATGCCCCAAATCCCTTGTAGCCTCCTCAAGCCCTGTGAACCCCTTCACCCTCCAACCCTCTCCAGTTCTCTGTATTCCACCGTCCCATTGCCCTATTATTGGGGTGTCCCCCACCCCCACCCACCAAAGTTTTACCACCTAATACTAGCCAGAACAGCTGCCCATCTCATTCTCCCTTTCCCCAGATGTGTGGGTCTCTGTTTTGATTAACTTTGACTCAGAATCAGTCCAGTACAGAACAGTTATAATATCGATAATCAGGTTTGAGAATGCTTGATAAGGACTTTTATAAGCATTCGCATCTATAGTTAAGGAAATCTGGTAATCAGGAAGAGCCAATATGGGTTTTGTCAAAGCTATGTCACTTTTAACCAATCTATGGGAGTTCTTTAAGGAAGTAACATGCTATGGATTAAAGGGAGAAGCTTATAGTATAGTGGCTATACTATACTTGGGTTTTGAGAAGCATTTGCTAAGGTACTAGAGAGGTTATGCTTGATACAAAGATCTGGTGAGGCCATATCTGGAGTACTGTGTAAAGTATTGGTCCTAATATCCTAAGGAAGGATACAAATGCATTTAGATGCAATTCAGAGAAGGTTCACTAGACTAATACCTGGAACTGGCAGATTATCTTAATGAGGGTGCAGCCTGTATCTGCTGGAATCTAGAAGTGTATCAGGCAACTAGATGGAAACATATAAAGTCCTGAGGGATTTTTTTATATTTATTCATGGGATGAGGGCATCACTGACCAGGCAGCATTTATTGCCCATCCCTAATTGTACAGAGGGCAGTTAAGACTCAACCACATTGCTGTGTGTCTGGAGTCACATGTAGGCCAGACCAGGTAAGGAAGGCAGTTTCCTTCCCTAAAGGACATTAGTGAACCAGATGGGTTTTACCGACAACCGACAATGGAGTCATGGTCATCATTGGAAATTCATTCCAGGAATTAGGATTTGTCCCAAATCGAGGGAATTTTGAGTAATTAAAAGCAACGCATCAACTATCTCACCAGCTACTTTAGGATCCTAGGATGAGGTCCATCCAGATCCAGGCATTTGTCAGCCCACTGTCCCAACATTTGCTCAGTACCACTTCTCTGGTGATTGTAATTTTCCTGAGTTCCTCACTCCCTCCCTTCCTTTTTCTGAGCTGTTCCTTGTATCCTCTATGGTGAAGGCAGAAGCAAAATACCTCTTCAATTCATCTGCCATCTCTTCCACTCCTAATTCCACCATCTGCCGCGGTGGGATTTGAACTTGGGTACCAGCTGGGTCACTGGGTCAGCAGTCCAGCAATAATACGACTAGGCCATTACAAGGAAGATGTGGAAGATGTGGAGACGATATTTCTCAGTGGGAGAATCTAGAACTAGGAGGTCACTGTTCCAAAGTAAGAGGTCGCCCTTAAAACAGGGAAGAAGCGAAGTTTTGTTGCACAGGTCAGGAGGTTTTGGAACTCTTGCTGGAAAAAAGCTGGTGGTAGCAGAGCCCTGGGATATTTTTAAGGCAGAGGTAGATAGATTCTTGCTAAGCAAGACGGTGAAAGGTAATCAGGAAGCTGGATTTGGGGTCAGTCCTGATCAGTCCTGATCTTATTGCATAGTGGAACAAGATTAGTCTTACGTCAGTGGTGGGCAAATTATTGCAAAGGGCTCTGAGAGACAGGATTTATGATCATTTGGAAAGGCACAATTTGATTTGTGATAGTCAGCATGGATTTGTGAAGGGTAGATCATGCCTCAGAAACCTTATTGAATTCTTTGAAGAGGTGACCAAACACGTGGATGAAGGTGGAGAAGTGGATGTGGTATACATGGATTTAAGTAAGGCGTTTGGTAAGGTTCCCCATGGTAGGCTCATGCAGAAGGTAAGGAGGCCTGGGATAGGGGGAAATGTGGCAGATTGGATTCAGAATTGGCTGACCCTTAGAAGACGAAGGGTGGTAGTGGACGGAAAATATTCAACATGGTGCTCAGTTACGAGTGGTGTACCACAAGGATCTGTTCTGGGTCCTCTTCTATTTGTGATTTTTGTAAATGATTTGGATGTAGGAGTGGAAGGGTGGATTAGCAAGTTCACGGACAATACGAAGGTGGGTCACGTTGTGGACAGTGCGGAGCTGTTCTAGGTTACAAAGGGACATTGATAGAATGCAGAGCTGGGCTGAGAAGTGGCAGATGGAGTTTAACCCTGAAAAGTGTGAGGTGATTCATTTTGGAAGGACAAACTTGAAAGCAGAATACAGGGTTAACGGAAAGATTCTTGGCAGTGTGGAGGAGCAGAGGGATCTTGGGGTTCATGTTCACAGTTCCCTGAAAGCTGCCACCCAGGTGGATAGAGTTGTTAAGAATGGTGTGTTAGCTTTCATTAATAGAGGGATTGAGTTCAAGAGCCGTGAAGTTATGCTCCAGCTATACAAAAGCCTGGTTCGGCCACATCTGGAGTATTGTGACCAGTTCTGGTCACCTCATTACAGGAAAGATGTGGAAGCGTTGGAAAAGGTGCAGGGGAGATTTACCGGGATATTGCCTGGAATGGAGGGAAGGTCTTACGAGGAAAGGTTGAGAGAGCTAGGGCTTTTCTCTTTAGAACGACGAAGGATGAGAGGTGACTTGATAGAGGTGTACAAAATGATCAGAGGTATAGATCGAGTAGACAGCCAGAGACTTTTTCCTAGGGTGGAGGTAGCTTTTATGAGGGGACATAGTTTTAAAGTGAAAGGAGGTAGATATCGAGGAGACATCAGAGGTAGGTTCTTTACTCAGAGAGTGGTAGGGGCGTGGAATGCATTGCCAGAGAGGGTAGTGGAGTCGGCCTCATTAGGGGCATTTAAGCGGCTATTAGATAGGCATATGGATGATAGTATAAGGTAGCGGTGGAGGTTAGATAGACCTTAGGTTTCAGGTAAAAGTTCGGCACAACATCATGAGCCGAAGGGCCTGTACTGTGCTCTACTGTTCTATGTTCTATGTTCTAAGATCAAGGGGTTGAATGGCCAACTTTTGCTCTTTGCCTGCCTTTGAACTGCCTAGTGAAAAGTTGAGTTAGAAAGTCAGACCTAGGTCTGACCCACGCTTGATGCCTCAAAGGGTAGGAATTTAAGCAAATCTCAAATTACAAACTTTTTCTTTCAGTTTGACGCTATCCGTAAACTTTATAGTTAACTGCAGGCGAGGTCTCCATCCTTCCTGAGATCTAGTGGTCGAGGTATTTAGAGCACTCACCTTGTGTTCCAGCTTCGGCCTGGGGGGCAGGTTGTCCCGCAGCAACTTCATGGCCTCGAAAGGAGAGTCACTGAAGTAGGGGGGCTCTCCATCGATCATCTCCACCACCATGATACCCAGTGACCAGATATCCACCTACAACATGAAGGAGCAAATTACTTCTGTCCCCATTCTCAGGTTCCACCAACAACTGTTGCCATGCTCATCATGTTGGATGGCTCTTTATAGCAATGTACCAGCACCAACACCTCAAATATGGCAGCTCAGGTTCCGGGCACTAGAGCCATGGACACTCTGTGCTAGCCCCACCCTGTACACAAGGCAACACCCTCTCATCAAGTGATAACTTTAGCCTATCTCATTCTTTTTTAAATTCATTCGTAGAATGTGGGCATCACTGGCTGGACCAGCATTTATTGGCTGTCCCTAGTTGCCCCTTGAGAAGGTGGTGGTGAGCTGCCTTCGTGAACCACTGCAGTTCACGTGCTGTGGGTTGACCCACAATGCCTTTAGGGAGGGAATCCCAAGATCCAGTGACATTGAAGGAATGGAGATATATTTCCAAGTCAGGATGGCTTGGAGGGGAGCTTGGAGGTGGTGGTGTTCCCATGTATCTGCTGCCCTTGTCCTTCTAGATGGAAGTGGCCATGGGTTTAAAAGGTGCTAAGGATCTTTGGTTAGTTTCTTTTGGTTAAGTGCACCTTGTAGATCTCTGATCTCAGCATTCTGCTCATGAGCATAACAGGGCTCTAACGTCTGTTCAGCCCAGTGTCACCTGACCTTCCCTCTGCACCCAGTTACATTCACATGGTGACTCCAACACTGAGCCAGAGACTCAGCCCTTTGCCCCCATCCCCTCCCTTGTCTTGCCACTTTTTCAAATCTCATCTTCGGGATCTACTGCTCCCAACCTTTGCCTCACCACCTCGATGTTCCTCTTAATTCTAACTCCACCTACAACATCGGGGCAGCAAGGTGGCTCAGTGGTTAGCACTACTGCCTCACAGCGCCAGACTCAGACTCATACAGCACAGAAAAAGACCCTTCGGTCTAAGTAGACCTACTTGCCTGTGCTTGGCCCTCTACATCCTTCCAAACCTTTCCTATTCATGAACTTATCTAAATGTCTTTTAAACGTTGTAACTGTACCGCATCCACCACTTCCTCTGGCAGTTTATTCCACTCACAAACCGCTCCCTGTGTTAAAAAAAAGTTGCCCCTCATGTCCTTTTTTAAATCTTTCTCCTCTCACCTTAAAAATACACCCCATAGTTTTGAACTTCCCCTACCCTAGGGAAAAGGTCCTTGTCAATCACCTTAACCTTATCCCTTCATGACTTTATAAACCTCAATAAGGTCACCCCTCAGCTTCCAATGCTCCCGGGAAAAAAAGTCCCAGTCTTTCCAATCTAAATAAAACCCTCCATTCCCAGTAACATCCTTGTAAATCTTTTCTGAACCCTCTCCAGTTTAGTATTATCCTTCCGATAACAGGGCAACCAGAACTGCACACAGTACTCCAGATTAGGGCTGCTGGGGGGGTAGGGAGGGCCTCACCTTTCTAACCCCCTTCCAATATCACGTCCCGGCTCTTGCTCCCTGCACTGCCCTCCTCTCCGCTATCCTTAATGAATCAGCCACGGTTACTCCTTCAGAAAGTCCCTTCCTAACCCTAACTCTTGAAATTGAGGCTCATGGTGATTTTATGGCAAACAATTGCATTGACATCTTGGCTTCAGCACATTGTAGCTGGTGACAGTTTTGTCCCTGGTGACAGTTTTGTCCCTTACTGATGCCGATCTCCAGCTGCATCTCCCTCTACGTGACCTACCGCCCCGTGTCCCCTACCCTCAACTTCAGTCATGTACCCTCGCTGACATTGGCTGCCCCCACCCCACCTCCACCCCCACCCAGCCGGATTTACCTCTGGTCCATATGGTAACCGGGCGATCACTTCCGGAGCCATCCAGTAAGGGGTCCCAACCAAAGACCTACGCTTTGGAATCTCCTCATTCACTTGGGCACAAAAGCCGAAGTCTGAGAGCTTAACCTGCAGAGAGACAGAGAGAGAGAGAAAGAGAGAAGCATGAGGAGGGGATGGATTACACACCTGCCCTGTCAGTGGGCTTCCAATGTGGGTAGTGGGCTGTAAAATCCACTGGTGCAGATACCACCCCCTATCTGCACCCAGAGATGGGCAAACCAGACAGTGGGTGTTTGCCAGCCCTTTGTTCTATTGTGCTCCCTAAATGAGGTCCGTAAACCCCTGAAACTAAATGCCCGCCACGTCCCAACAAACAGACAGGATCTCAGACCAGCACGTGGTATTTCCACTCCTGTGGGCTCAGCCGACAATGGTCCCTGCTCCTGGTGGCATTGCAAGGGACCACAGCGCTGCCAGCAACTCAGCTGGAAATGGCAGGTTATCCTGCTATGCCATGGGGAAGTAAGGGAGCAAGCATTCCTGTTCCTCTCGGCCCACAAGCCGTGCTGCAAAGGCACTTTCCTGCTGGCTTTAGCATCCCTTGTCTCCCTCTAGCTGCTGCCTGGGTCAAGGGAAGGCGATGGCCTAGCGATACTATCGCTAGACTGTTAATCCAGATAATGTTCCGGGGGACTTGGGTTCAAATCCTGCCATGGCAGGAATTTGAATTCAGTAAGTATCTGGAATTAAGAATCTAATGATGACCGTAAATCCATTGCTGATTGTCAGGGGGAAAAACCCATCCGGTTCACTAATGTCCTTCAGGGAGAGAAATCTGCCATCCTCACCTGGTCTGGCCTACGTGTGACTCCAGGCCCACAGCAATGTGGTTGGCTCTTAATTGCCCTCTGGGTGATTAGGGATGGGCAATAAATGCTGCCTGGTCAGTGACACCCTCATCCTGCAAATGAATAAGGGGGGAAAAAAAAACGTGGACAATGTCTGTGCTGAAATCCAGCACCCCCCCCCCACATCCTGACTATCATCCTCCAATGGCCCAGATCAGAAGAGGCCCAGTGGAAGCCGTCAGGCCCCATTCCTGTCCTGCCTCCACCGGGTGCTCAAACAACTAACCGCCCCAGTTTTGAAAGGCTGCGATCAATAGCTTCCAGCACAGTTCCCTCTTACCCGTCCGTCCAGTGTCAGCAGAATGGAGTCACTCTTGATGTCTCGATGGATCACACCGTGGGAATGGAGATACGCCAGGGCCTTCAGTATTGACAGGCAAACAGTAGCAATCTGCTCCTCGTCCATCCTGTAGGAGCAATTAATTTAGAATAATTACTAAACACAATTTATCAGCGATCGGAACATATAGAGAGGGGGCCGGGGTCAGGGAGTGATTGGGGTCAGACTGACTTCTACTAGGGTCAGAGAGTTATTTGGATCAGAGTGACACCTGTTGGGGTCAGGGAGTGACACCTGTTGGGGCCAGAATGGAGTCACTCTTGATGTCTCAATGGATCACACCTGTTGGGGTCAGAGTGTGACTGGGGTTAGAGTGGCACCTGTTGGGGTCAGAGAGTGACACCTATGGCCAGACAGCAAATGGGATGGAGATTTATTTGGGTCAAACGCTGTTGAAATTTGATCCAACCCGACAGTTTGATGCTCACTGTCCACATCAGCAATATTTCTAATCCTATGCGCTTTAGGCGTAGAGACTAAAATAAGTCTGTTTCTATCCAATTAGACTCAATTCTTGATCTTTTAAAACATCTTTACAAAACCATCCTGCAGACTCCACTGTGTGAACAGCTGGTCCTAGTTGATCCAGTTTTACTTTGTAATTGTGCAGACTATTAGCAGGCTGGAATCTAATTACAAGGAGCACATCAAGCATGCTGGAGTAAATGATAGGGTTTGTGTTCAGCTCTTGGAATATAATGCTGATGGGGAAAAGCTAGGTGCCAATACGTCTGTGCAGGTGGAAATAATGCAGAGACAAGCATGATGATTGTGTGTGAGAATTGTCTGAGAGGATGACGAAGTCCTCACAACATGACCAGCCCTGATAGCTGAAGCTTGCAAAACGTCAACACTAAACAGCTCAAACTGGAATGCCCAAATCTGAGCTAGGGAACTCTCCCTGTGACTGCAGATGTCCTGACACAGTAACTTTCTACAACCTTCCATGTTTAACGAGGCATGAGGAAATCAGAGAGTCTCTCAATTATCTCATGTGTACAAATCCCTAGTGAGCTCACTGCAGGGAAGAAATGAGTGATCCAGAATACTTGGTTAATGTCTGGGGGACATGGGTTCAAATCCCAGCATGTGAAATGTGGTTTTTGTTCTAAGAAAAACTAATCTAATAGCAACCACTGTCCATTGTTTGCAAAATTAAAATTTTGTTCACTAATGACCTTGAGGGAAGGAAATCTGCCATTCTGCCCTGCTCTGGCCAACATGTGACTCCAGGCCCACAGTCATGTGGTTGATTTTTACCTGCCCTGTTGGAGACTACTATTAAAGATGTCACAACAGAGAATTTGGTTAAGTTCAAGGTCATCAGGCAGAGCCAAACGGTTTTGTCAAAGGAAAATCATGTTTAACTAAATTCATTGGATTTCTTTGAGGAGGTAATTTGTGCTGTAGATAAAGGGGAACCAGTGGATATACTGTACTTAGATTTCCAGAAGCATCTGATAAGGTGGCACATCAAAGATTTATTGTGGAAAATAACATTTTGAGGGTAATATATTGGTGTTGATAGAAGATTGGCTATTAACAGGAAGTGCAGAATAGGATCAAATGGGTCTTCTTCAGGTTGTCACAAATGGTGTGCCACCAGGTTCAGTTCTGGGGCCTCAGCTCTTTAAAATTTATATAAGTGATTCAGATAAAGATATAGGAGCTAAACTTACTGATGACACAAAGGTAGATGGAAATTGATTTGTGAAGAGGACACAGGAACCTACAAAGAGTAGGTTGTGAGGGGTAAAAATCTGGCAAATGGAGTATAATGTGGAAAAGTGTAAAACTGTTCATTTTAGCAGAAAGAATTTTAAAAAGGAAGCATGTTATCTAAAAGGTGAGAGGTTGCAGAGCTCTAAAATGCAGAGGGATCTGGGTGTCCTACTACATGCTTCACAGAAGGTTAGTATACAGGTTCAACATATAATCAGGAAGAATCATAGAATATTATATTTTATTATGAGGGGAGCTGAATTTTAGGGCAGGGGGGTTATGGTTCAGTTATACAGGGCTTTGGTGAGACTGCATCCCTGGAATACTGTGTACAGTACTGGTCACCGTACTTGCGTAAGGATGTTTATGTGTTGGAAGCAGTTCAGAGAAGATTTAGTGGATTCAGAGTCAGAGAGTCATAGAGATGTACAGCGTGGAAACATCCTTCTTCAGTCCAACTCTTCCATGCCAACCAGATATCCTAAATTCATCTAGTCCTATTTGCCAGCAATTGGCCCATATTCCGCTAAACCCTCCCTATTTATATACCCATCCAAATGCCTTTTAAATGTTCTAATTGTACCAGCCTCCACCACTTCCTCTGGCAGCTCATTCCATACACGCACCAGCCCTCTGCATGAAAACGTTGCCCCTTCGGTCCCTTCTAAACCTTTCCCTTCTCACCTTAAACCTATGTCCTCTAGTTTTGGACTCTCCTACCCTGGGAAAGAAACCTTGACTATTTGCCCTAACCATGCCACTCATGATTTTATAAACGTCTATAAGGTCACCCCTCAGCCTCTGATGCTCCAGGGAAAATAGCCCCAGCTTATTCAGCCTCTCCCTGTAGCTCAAACCCTCCAATCCCGGCAACATCCTTATAATATTTTCTGAACCCTTTCAAGTTTCACAACATCCTTCCTATAGCAGGGAGAGCAGAACTGAAAGCAGTATTCCAAAAGTGGCCTAACCAATGTCCTGTAGAGCACAACACGACCTTTCAACTCCTATACTCGATGCACTGACCAATAAAGGCAGACATACCAAACACCTTCTTCACTATCCTGTCTACCTGTGACTCCACTTTCAAGGAACTATAAACCTTCACTCCAAGGACTCTTTGTTCAGCAACACTCCCCATTAAGTGTTTAAGTCCTGCCCTGATTTGCCTTTCCAAAACGCAGCACCTCACATTGATCTAAATTAAACTCCATCTGTCACTCCCCGGCCCATTGACCCATCTGAGGTAACCTTCTTCACTGTCCACTACACCTCCAATTTTGGTGTCATCTGCAAACTTACTAACCATACCTCCTCTGTTCACACCCAAATCATTGATGTAAATGAGAAAAATATCTGGAATGAGCAGATTGCATTGTGAGGAAAGGCTGGCGGGCTGGATCTGTGTCCTCAGGAGTTTGGAAGAAGTCTGAAGTGACTGAATTGAAACATAGAAGATCCTGAGGGGACTTGACCAGGTGGATGTGGAAAGGATGTTTCCTCTTGTGGGAGAATCTAGAAATAGGGGTCAGTGTCTAAAATAAGGTGTCATCCACTTAAAACGGGAATGAGGAAACATTTTTCTCTCAGAGGGTCCAGAGTCTTTGGAATTCCATTCCTCAAAAGACCATGGATACAGAACCTTTAAATATTTTGAAAGCAGAGGTAGGTCAATTCTTGATGACCAAAGGGATGCATGATTATCCAGGGATACGCAAGAACATAGAGTTGAGACTAAAATCAGATCGGACATGATCTTATTGAATGGGTGAACAGATTCGAAGGGCGGAGTGGCCTACACTTTTTCCTTCATATGTCCTAAAACAGCACAGCAAGCTGCACAGCTCAAGGGTAATGAGGGCTCAGGAACAAATGCCAATCTTGACAGTGATGCTCACATCCCAGAGGAGAGTTAACTAAAAGATGAGTCTGGCTTATGCTTATTTACATTCAATTAATAAATAAAGGTTAGTCAGTCATCAGACAATGCTTCATCTGGTGGGAATGAGCTAGTATAGAAATGGAGGATTAGGGATTTAACCTACCACTAGTGAACCTGTGCTGCATCATCACCTTATGTCAATGGTCATCCAACTAACAACATGATCAATATTAGATTCCGACAGGGCTCACAGTAAAAGGTCAAAGAAGTTCACCGTGCAGCCTGGAGTTGTCAGGACAGTGTTCCTGGGTGGGAGAGGCTTCTGTAAGCATACCTGGTGTGCGAGATGATATCGGTGAGTGCTCCTCCCTGCAGCAGCTCCATAACCACCCACAATTCATCCCCAACAAGATGGCTGCTGTACATCTCCACCACATTCTCATGGTGATAGTCTCTCATGATCACAACCTGAATAGCAAATCAAAAAGAGATCGCTCTGATTGGGAGCTGACTCGGTGGTTCACTAAATGCATTAACACCCCACCTCGCAACCATCATAGAACCTCTAACTGATTCCTCCCTCTCTCCCTGCCCCTGACCACGGGTCCCCTCCCTCTCCGTGCACCTGACCCTCGGCCCCCTCCCTCTCCCTGCCCCTGACCCTAGGCCACCTCCCTGTCCGTACCCCTGATCCTAGGCCCCCTCTCTCTCCACACCCCTGACCCTAGGCCCCCCTCTCTCTCTGTACCCCTAAGCCTGATCCCCGCCCCCTCTCTCCATGCCCCTGACCCTAGGCCCCCCCCCTCTCTCTCTCACTCCATACCCCTGACCCTAGGCCCCCTCTCTCTCCGTACCCCTGATCCTAGGCCCCCTTTCTCTTCACACCCCTGATCCTGGAAACCCTCCCTCTCCATACCCCTGACCCTAGACCCCTCCCTGTAAGTACTCCTGACCCTAGACCCCTCCCTGTAAGTACCCCTGACCCTAGACACCTCCCTGTCTGTAGCCCTGACCCTAGACCCTAGACCCCCTTCTTCTCCATACCCCTGATCCTGGAACACCCTCCCTCTCCGTACCCCTGACCCTAGACCCCTCCCTGTCCGTACCCCTGACCCCAGAACCCCCTCCCTCTCCATACCCCTGACCCTGGAACACCCTCCTTCTCCATACCCTTGACCCCAGGCCCCCTCTCTCTCGTACGCCTGACCCTAGGCCCTCCCTCTCTGTGCCCCTGACCCTGGAACACTCTCTCTCCATGCCCCTGACCCTAGGCCCCCCTCTCTCTCCCTACCCCTGATCTTGGGCCCGCTCTCTCCTCGTACCCCTGACCATAGGTCCCCTCCCTCTCGTACCCCTGACCCATCGATGGTCCTCAGTCCATTCCTGGGATGACCATGCTGAGTGCCTGTGACTTTTGGCCCTTACCTCATTGAACAGCAGCTCCCTGCGCTGCTGTGTCCTCAGGTCCATCCTCTTCACTGCCACCGTGCGGCCTGTGAGTTTCTCTCTGGCCACGCATACAATGCCGGTGGAGCCCTCCCCAATTTGACCGAGTGTCTCCAGTTGCTTCCTGGGGTCAGCTTGGTTGACCACCATCGCCATGGCGCTCCTGAATTGCTCGTGTGTAACTCTTTGGCCTTCCCCGGGAGATTGGGTTTCACGCTGAGCTATGCCCGGGCAGCTGTTCCTGTGGGAGCCAGGCTCTCTTGGACTGGGCAGCGACCGGGCCACGTTCCCTCTCGGAGGCTCAGGGACGGACCTTGGCGCAGGGTCGGCTTCAGCCTGCTTCTGCTCTACGCTCCTCGTCGCACTCCGCCCCGACCTCGGAGCGCCGTTGGGAATTAGCCCACCGTTCCGCTCAATCTGGTCTACCTTTGGAAAGGATTCAGACACGGGTTTCAGCCAAACTCCTCCGCCGCGAGATAAAGACTCATCGGGCGACGCTGTTTCACCCCAAACCCAGTCCAACCTACGTTCCTACTGGTGCCCACCATCACCCACTGCAGCAGAGTGCCACTCTACTGCCAAGGATCAGCCAATATATCGGATCCATTCATAGACTGGGTCAATGATTATGCACCAGCACATTTGATCGATTAGAGCAATTAATCTGTCAGCACACTGGATCTGCTAGTCCACTGGCTCTACCAACCTTCCCTATCTAATCCGGTAGAAGATCCAACATAAAGATGGACCAAGTGTGTTGCGAGTACAGCGTATTAGTGGAACAAGCGCACTGGATCAACACTTGGTCCATCATTATACTGGTTCTTCCAGGGCACCAGACAGGGGAGGTTGGTTAGCTTGGTTGGCTGGATGGCTGGTTTGTGGTGCAGACTGGCAACAGCAGTGTGCGTGCAATTCCTGCACTGGCTGAGGTTACTGCGAAGGTCCCTCTTTTTCAACCTCTTCCCCCTCATCCGAGGCACGGTAGCCCTCAGGTTAAACCACCACCCATCGTCTCTCTCTCTCTCTCTCTGTCTCTCTAATGAGACTGCAGCCCTATGATCTGGTCAGACCACGGTGACTTTACATAGAGCATTGGATCCGCTGGTATCAGATTTGCCAGTGTACTAGATCTGTAGGTGTGCTGCACCTGCTGGTACACTGGATCTGTTAGAATGAAGAATTCAATCAGGTACAGGATCTACTAGTATACTGGATGGGTTAGGACAATGAATCCAGTAGTGTGCTTAGAGTCACAGATGCGCAGCACAGAAACAGACCCTTCGGTCCACATCATCCATGCCAGATATCCTAAATTAATCCAGTCCCATTTGCCAGCATTTGGCCCATATCCCTCTAAACCCTTCCTATTCATATTCGCATCCAGATGCCTCTTAAATGTTGTAATAGTACCAGGCTCCACCACTTCCTCTGGCAGCTCATTCCATACACGTACCACCCTCTGTGAAAAAGTTGCCCCTTCGGTTCCTTTTAAATCTTTCCCCTCTCACCTTTAAACCTACGCCCTCTAGTTTTGGATTCCCCTACCCAGCAGAAAAGACCTTGACTATTCATCCCATCCATGCTCCAGCTTATACAGCCTCTCCATTTTGGTCAAACCTTCCAACCGCGGCAACATACTTGTAAATCTTTTCTGAACTGTTTCAAGTTTCGCAACATCTTTCCTATAGCAGGGAGACCAGAATTGCACGCAGTATTCCAAAAGTGGCCTAGCTAATGCCCTGCACAGGCACAACACAACCTCCTAACTCCTATACTCAAAGTACTGACCACTAAAGGCAAGCTTCACTATACTGTCTACCTGCAACTCCACCTTCAAGGAACTATGAACCTGCACTCCAAAGTCTCTTTGTTTGGCAACACTCCCCAGGACCTTATCATTTAGTGTATATGTCCTGCCCTGATTTACCTTAGCAAAATATGGCACCTCACATTTATCTAGATTAAACTCCATTGCCACTCTTTGGCCTATTGACCCATCTGATCAAGGTCCCATTGTTCCTCGTTCACTGTTCAATTTTACTCAGCTTGAACATTAATCCATTACTGCAATGGCTCCACTCATTTACTGGAAACTATTATACTGATTACGCCTATACATTGATTGGATCTCCAACTTTACTGGCACCACTTGTATATTAGAACCATAGTGCGTTGTCTCCAGGACAGTGAATTCACGAACATAGAGTCATACTGCACAGAAACAGGCCCTTCAGTCTAACCAGTCCATGTCAACCATAATCCCAAACTAAACTGGTCCCACTATCCTGCACTTGGCCCATATCCCTCCATACATTTCTTATTAATGTTCTTATCCAAATGTCTTTTTAACGTTGTACCCACATCAGTCACTTCCTCCGCACACAAACCATTCACTTTGTAAAATATTGCCCCTCATGTGTTTTGTAAATCTTTCTCTTCTCACCTTAAAAATACACTCCCTAGTCATGAACTTCCCCACCCCAGGGAAAAGACACCTGCCATTCACCTTATCTATAGCCCTCATGATTTATAAACCTCTATAAAGTCACCCCTCAACCTCTTATGCTCCAGTGTAAAAAGTCCCAGCCTATCCACCCTTTCCTTATAACTCAAACCCTCCATTCCCAGCAACATCCTGGTAAATTTCTTCTGAGCCCTCTCCAGTTTAATAATATCCTTCCTATTGCAGGGAGAGCAGAACTACACACAGTATTCCAGAAGAGGCCTCACCAACATTGTGTACAACCTCAACGTGACATCCCAACTCTAGCTCACAATATGCTGGATTCACTAGTGTACTAATACATTGGATCCATTTACACACATGAACGTATGTGTGAAATAGGAGCAGAAATAGGCCATTCATCCCTTCAAACCTGTTCTGCCATTTAAAACAGCCATGGCTGATTTGATTGCATTTTGAATTCCACCTTCCCATCCGTCCCGATAACCTCTGATTCCATTGCCTAAAAAGAATACATCCACCTCCACCTGAAAAATAATCAGTGATCCACCCTCTAACAGCTCCTGAAGGAGAGAGATGTGAAGTTCAAACAACCCTTGAAGAAAAAAATGTTCTCATCTCTGTCCTAAAAGGTAACCAATAATGTTAAAACAGCACTCTCTAGTTCAGTACTCACCTATAAGGGGTAACACCCTTTCCACATATACACTGCATCTGTCAATTTACCACTAGTGCGTGGATCTACCAGAATGCTGTATTTTTTTAGAGATCATTATTATACTGGATCTGCTAATATACTGGGATCTGTTAGCTCACTGGATCCACTACCACTATACGTATGTTGGTATACTGGGTCCACTCATTCACTGCCTCCACTAAGGTAAGTGTTGTAGTAATGTGACTGGACAAGTATTCCAGAACCTAATCCAGGTTAATGCTCTGGGGACACGTGTTCGAATCCCACGGCAGATGGTGTAATTTGAATTTAAAAATCTGAAATTTAAAAAAATTAGTCTAAATGTTGTCCAAGTAACTGTTGTTCTTTAATGTCCTTTAGAGAACGAAAATTGTCATCCTTACCCAGTCTGGCCCACATGTGACTCCAGACCTACAGCAATGTGGCTGACTCTTAGCTGCCCTCTGAAGTGGCCCAATGAGCTACTCAGTTCAAGGGCAATTAGGGATGGGCAAGGAATGCAAGATGAGTCGGGTGACGGTTACATCTCGTGAAAGAAGATTAAAAGGAACTTTCCTTGTATTCATTCCCTGTCACATCTTTTTTCCCAGTCCCCTCCTGATCTCACTTCCCACTGTGTCCAACCCCAGGGTAAAGCCTTCTTCAAGCCACCTACAATACCACAAATAAAGATCCAGCTCTCTAGCCCTTGGTTCTCTATTCACACAACAATATTTGAAATCGTTGACCACAGTTGTTCTCTCACCTTTGAGGATCTTGTCCTGAGTAAAACAATCTGGCTGCCCAGTCACTAGGCCTGAGAGACCACCCACCCCATCCTCACTCCCAGGTCCAATCAATATAGTTGTGAAATATAATGGTGCGAAAAGGCTTTCGCTATTCATCTTCAGTTCTGATTGGATAAGCACCGACACAGCCTGATGTCCTTTGCCAAAACTGCTCACTATTCCTGAACTAATGGATCCCAGTGTATCAGCAGATCCGGTATAATAATACACTCATTGTCCCAGAAATTACAGCATTCTGGTGGATAATCCTGAAATGCGAAGGTTCAATGCTCTGCCATTAATTATCCCCTCCGCTCCCCCCACCCCGCCCCCCCAGCCAACTCTGCCCTACTCCCTCCACCTCCCTATTCTCACCTCCAACAATAAGTGTGACTGGTTCATTGACTCATTACTAAGGTTAACCCCGTCATTGAGCTGCCTTAGTCACATTCCCCACCAACCCGCTGCCCACCCACCTCCTCCCCCCAACTTCTTCTCAAACTCTGAAACTGACATCTTCTTCCAGTTCCTTTCTCAGGTCTATTTCAAGCTCACTTTGTCCGTGAAAAGCAACACCCACTATACTCCTGACCACCTACTTTGCCCTCCTATGTTAGCTGTTATAGTAAAGGATTCTCTTTCTCTCCCCAGGGGTGGTTTCCCCTCCCATTCAAAAATGGGAACACCAACTCCAGAAAATAATCAAAAAGATAGTGCTGTCTCGAAATAAATAGATACTACAGGACCAGAAACTGAACTGGACTTGCCATGTAAACACAATAGCTACCAGAGGAGGTCAGAGGTTAGGAATACTGCAGCGAGTAACTCACCTCCTGACTCCCAAAGCCTGTCCATCATCTACGAGGCACAAGTCAGGAGTGTGATGGAATACTCCCCACTTGCCTGGATGAGTGCAGCCCCAACAACACTCAAGAAGCTTGACACCATCCAGGACTAAGCAGCCTGCACCACATCCACAAGCATCCACTCCCTCCACCACCGACGCTCAGTAGCAGCAGCGTGTACCATCTACAAGATGCACTGCAGAAATTCACCAAAGATCCTCATACAGTACCTTCCAAACCCACAACCACTTCCATCTAGAAGGACAAGGGCAGCAGATACATGGGAACACCACCCCCCGCAAGTTCCCCTCCAAGCCACACCATCCTGACTTGGAAATTTATCACTACTCCTTCAGAGTTGTTGGGTCAAAACCCTGGAATTCCCTCCCTGAGGGCATTGTGGGTCTACCTACAGCCCATGGACTGCAGCAGTTCAAGAAGGCAGCTCACCACCACCTTCTTAACGGCAATTAAGGACAGGCAATAAATGCTGACCCAGCCAGAGACACCCATTTTCTGTACGCAAGTGAAAAAGTAAACAGTAGAGACTCAGTTCTGAGTGTGTAAACCAATCCTGAACAAGACGCCTTTGACCTCTCTGCTCTTGCAAACTATCGTCCCATCTCCAACCGCCCTTTCCTCTCCAAAAT